GATATCAGTGATTGAAGGTCAAATTAATGAAATAAAGTGAGACGACAGGATTAGAAAAAAAAGAGTGAAAAGAAATGAACAAAGCCTCCAGGAAATATGGGACTATGTGAAAAGACCAAATCTACATTTGATTGGTGTTCCTGAAAGTGACAGGGAGAATGGATCCAAGTTAGAAAACACTCTTCAGGATATTATCCAGGAGGACTTCCCCAACCTAGCAAGGCAGGCAAACATTCAAATTCAGGAAATACAGAGAACACTACAAAGATACTCTTCGAGAAGAGCAACCCCCAAGACACATAATTGTCAGATTCACCAAGGTTGAAACGAAGGAAAAATTGTTAAGGGCAGCCAGAGAGAAAGGTTGGGTTACCTACAAAGGGAAGCCCATCAGACTAACAGTGGATCTCTCGGCAGGAACTCTACAAGCCAGAAGAGAGTGGGGGCCAATATTCAACATTCTTAAAGAAAAGACTTTTCAACCCCAAATTTCATATCCAGCCAAACTAAGCTTCATAAATAAAAAAGAAATAAAATCCTTTACAGACAAGCAACTACTGAGAGATTTTGTCACCACCAGGCCTGCGTTACAAGAGCTCCTGAAGGAAGCACTCAACATGAAAAGAAACAACCAGCACCAACCACTGCAAAAACAGGCCAAATTGTAAAGACCGTCGATGCTATGAAGAAACTGCATCAATTAACAGACAAAATAACCAGCGAACATCATGATGACAGAATCATATTCACACATAACAATATTAACCTTAAATGTAAATGGGCTAAATGCCCCAATTAAAAGACACAGACTGGCAAATTGGATAAACAGTCAAGACTCATTGGTGTGCAGTATTCAGGAGACCCATCTCATGTGCAAAGACACACATAGGCTCAAAATAAAGGGATGGAGGAAGATCTAACAAGCAAATGGAAAGCAAAAAATAAAAATAAAAAAAAAAAAGCAGGAGTTGCAATCTAGTCTCTGATAAAACATAGTTTAAACCAACAAAGATCAAAAGAGACAAAGAAGGCCATTACATATTGGTAAAGGGATCAATTCAACAAGAAGAACTAACTACCCTAAATATATATGCACCCAATACAGGAGCACCCAGATTCATAAAGCAAGTCCTTAGAGACCTACAAAGAGACTTAGACTCCCACACAGTAATAATGGGAGACCTTAACACCCCACTGTCAATATTGGACAGATCAATGAGACAGAAAATTAACAAGGATATCTAGGATTTGAACTCAGCTCTGGACCAAGCAGACCTAATACACATCTGTAGAACTCTCACCCCAAATCAACAGAATATACATTCTCAGCACCACATCACACTTATTCTAAAATTGACCACATAATTGGAAGTAAAATACTCCTCAGCAAATGCAAAAGAACAGATATCACAACAAACTGTCTGTGCAATCAAATTAGACCACAGTGCAATCAAATTAGAACTCAGGATTAAGAAACTCAATCAAAACCGCACAACTACATGGGAACCGAACAACCTGCTCCTGAATGACTACTGAGTAAATAACAAAATGATGGCAGAAATAAAGATGTTCTTTGAAACCAATGAGAACAAACATATGACATACCAGAATCTCTGGGACACATTTAAAGCAGTGTGTAGAGGGAAATTTATAGCACTAAATGCCCACAAGAGAAAGCAGGAAAGA